AATATTTTGAAAATTCGATTTTTAGCCTTCGACCGTCGTATATTAAAAGTTTTATAATCCGACCATCTTTAGTCCAAACTGACTCAGATTTTCAGGAGATACTCAAAACAAGTCACAGATACGAGATTCAGTCGAAGAAATGGTCTAAAAGTTTACTTACCTGCTGAGGTTTTGGAGGAGGTTCCTGGAAAACCTTCCTTGTAACGGTGCTTTGCAATCTGATTTTTCAACTGGATCTCGTATCTGTGACTTGTTTTGAGTATCTACTTGATCAAGTACCTGCTTGAGTACTTTGGTGAACTTTTCTCAGTAAATTTATGAATACGGGGACCCGAGCAGGTACTTCCTCAGTAAACATACTGATATGGGTACCTGAGAAAGTACCCGTCCCAGTAAAGTTGCTGAAAATTTTCAAAGTACCCAAAACGGATACCCTGCTGGAATGCGTACTCTGAACACAGTACATTCACTAGGGTAGCACATTCAACGTGACTTAAACATTCAAAGCCATTTGATCGCTTTCCGCTTATTTTCAATTATTCTATGGTTAATACCAACCATAATTGTTTCCATTGCTTAAAACCCAACAAACGTTAGAGGATTTTGAGTTGCAAAAGTCGTTTTTCTATTTCCAGTTATGAAATGGTGTTCCCTGAATTTTAAACAACAAAAACCAAATACAATGATGCTCATAATAGGGAGCATACTTTTAGGACATACACTCATTATTCATATTTCTAGGCAACATTATCATAGCAATCTTTGTTCAGTTGTTTCGACGCTTAATGCTCTTTATAGCGAAATTCATTCTTATGGCCCATAGCAAGGTTCTCATTGGCGCCATAAGAACCAATGGTTACACTATGCAACAGATAGTGTAGCAAGCATATGTAGCAAAATTTCGTTATTAGAAGTTACTTGCCAATAACAGCTGCCAATAGCAGGTAACTTCAGCGGATGTCAACAGAAAAACAAGAAAAAAACCAAAGTTTGTAAAAGAAAGAAGCAATTTTGTTTCCAAAAATGCCGACAGGTCTGTTCAGATATTACGTAGTCACACAGAATAAATAAAACAGAATAAACGCAAAGCAGATCAAAGAAGCCGCTTTCTGTACTAATTAAAATTAAATGTGCGTAGATCATCGAGAAGGCGTCTAGCATGAAAGATAATCATACTAATTACCTGATTTTCTGTATTAGTTCTTGGACAGCTGACAAATTGCTGCTTAAAAAAGTGATTTTATTTTCAATTTCACTTTGCGACCAATGAAAAAGCGACCTTACGCAAGGATGAACCTAACGAGAAGCAAATAGTATTTTCAGAATGAGAGATGGGTCTTCTATAAAAGTGTAAAATATCTTTCGGATTCTTCCACAAAAAAGAATTAGATGTCGACACACTGAAATGATAGGATAAGGCAGGGTTGGGCAACTCCAATTCCGGAGTTGAGGATAAAAACGGAAAAATCTTCCTTAAAAAAGTGAAGCAACCGCAGTTGAACCGGACGGCTTATCCAGCTAACGGTCTCCTTACGGTCCTCCTAACGATCCGTTCAAACCGGAAAAACCGTGACGCTGTGACATTTTTGACCGTTTTTTGTCACGGCGTTTTTTTTTCGTTGATTAATACAGATTAATTAGAATAGTTTCGAACTTAACAAGCTATCACATTTTGTAGAGCAAACAATTTTCTACAAACTGGTATACTTGTTCAATTTTGACCGGCTCGTTTTCACTCTTTTAGACATGCTTTTTAGATAGCCTCAACATCGATTTTGGGGGCTGTTTATAAGATGCCGCTAATTCGAATTTTTCACACCATTTTATTTTTGAGTTATACATCAATCGATAGAGCTTGGCGAGCTGATTAAGAGCATCAACATTTTAGCTTTAAAAAGTTGGTTTTTGAATGAAAAAACTTCAAAATACTAGAAGGGTCTCAAATTTCGAAAAACTCTTCGGTTTTCCAAAAAACCAAATTCATTCTTCTAATTTTTTGAAAATATGTTTTTCGGATTCAGCATTAAAAACTGAGTATGAGAATGATTTTTGATCGAGGTTGAACCCAAAGGTCTATCCAGTATGGACGTCTCGGACTCTGCCTGTAAAAAGTGACTAAACAATTTTGGAAACCAATCTAGTTTTTTGTGTGATGAGATGAAGCCGACCTTTTAATTTCATTAGAACCGCCATTAAACGAGCTTTAAAAGTACGGAGAGCGTTCTTTAAAATTCCTTTCCATTGCTGAGAAATTTCACTTTTTCTAAACCAGGAGCGAAAAAATCGGAATTCTCCCCGTAATTCTCAATTTTCACAACCAGAACTCACTTTTTATGCAATAAAAGTATCGAATTCGGAGTCAGCGTCCACAATTGAGCCGAATGATATATGATTTGAAAGTTTTCGGTGATCTCCATGTTTTGGTGAAAATCTCATTAATTTTTCGACGTGAGAATTCGAAAAAAAACAAAAGTGGTTGGACAGGATAAAAAGGTACATTATTCGACTCAGTTTTGGACGCTGACCCCGAATTTGATACTTTTATTGCATAAAAAGTGAGTTCTGGTTGTGAAAATTGAGAATTACGGGGAGAATTCGGATTTTTTCGCTCCGGGTTTAGAAAAGGTGAAATTTCTCAGCAATGGAAAGGAATTTTAAAGAAAGCTCTCCGTACTTAATATAGTTTCACTTACAGATATAATCTGCGGGTACAGCTGTCCACACCATTTGAGAAATCTCAAATAAACTTACTTGCAACTGTACTAGAATTAAATTTGCACTCAGTTTTTTATTTATGTGTTTATTCACCACTACTCAAACACTAACAGTGTATTGTGTGTTTCTCTTTTTTTTGTGTTTTCTACTCAAATTTGATCGAGCGAAACGAAATACAGGCACGTTTTTTTGTGTGCTTGTGTTATGCTAAACCAAGAGTTACAACATTTGACGGCATTCATTTCTAACAAACTGAAATCGTATGTTTTCATTTAAATTTAGATTTTCGTATGATGCAGACAACTTACAGTCATGATCCCCGTTTCTCTTACACACTCTATATTCCACCTGGCGTTTCCGACAAACAACAACTTCCACTCGTAGTTCTCATACACGGTCTCCAACGTAAGGTTGGCGAAATGTTCGATTCCTACAAAGAATTTGCTGACCACAATTACTGTGTACTGTTCATTCCATTATTTCCTGAAGGTTACGATTATCAGAAACTGATTGATTCATGGACAGATCTCCGCTACGATCGCCTGCTACTCGATATGATTGATGAAATTACTATTAAAAATACGAATATCAATACCGGAAAATTTTTTCTCCATGGTTATAGTGCTGGTGGTCAGTTCGTACATCGTTTCGCCTGTTTATGTTCAAATCGATTGCTGGCTCTCTCAATTGGTGCACCAGGTTCAGTTATACTGATCGATGATAGCGGAAATGGCCGGAAGGAACGAAAGATCTAAGAACGATTTTCGATGGCTTCGACGTCGACGTGCAGACACTCAAAAGTCTACCGATTCAAATCTATGTGGGAGATAGAGACCACCGACTGAAGACGGCATTAAGATTGATGAGTAATTTTGCAGAAGAAATTGGTTTGGAAAAAGTGGAATTTGATATTGTGCCACACGCAGGACACGATAGTACCAAGATGAAATACGTTGTTAATGAATTTTTTCAACAAGTTTTGAACAATAATACAGATAGCTTAAAGCTGGATACAAACTAGACCCACGTTCACCTTGAAAAAAGCTGACTGGATTTGAAATTTTTTTCAGCCTGTTTTATTTTGAAATCTCTGGTAATATATTTAATTTGCAAACACTTGTTTGATTATAAGGTGCCGACAATTCAAAGTTACAGCAGGAAATTGTTTTCTCTTTTTTTGGCATGGTTGGACAGAGCTTATCGAGTTGCATAGGAAAAACACAATCTCACATTTTAACAAGTCATTTTTTGGTGGAAAAATTTAACAATACCCGTTGTTTGAAACTAAGCAAAAATCCGTGAAATTTTCGAAAACAAGCAAATTTTTGTAACATTTATAGCATTATAACATGTCGTAGTAGTCTTCCGTTAATCTTATCTTTTTTGATTCCAGGAGCAGTTGTACTACACCGCTTCGAAGACAGATAAGACAAGGTTCCATCGTTTTTATTTCTTTTCCTGGTGCGTCTATGAATTAATTCGTTTTTCGTCCTTTTCTACACTTTTCCTGCACCAAATTACATGTCTCAGCATGTTAAATGCATTAGCCGCTTTCGTTAAGCGTGTGTTAATTTCTTTGTGTGGCTTTTGATCTCTGGAAATGTTGCAGCCCAGATAAGTGAAAGAGTCCACAGTTTCAATGGTCTGATTGCGAATTGTAAGATCCATGTCAGGTTGACTTATTTGTTGACTGTGTAAAACCTTTCGATCTTGATCTTCTTTAAACTGCTGTAAGGTCATAATACACGTCTTCTTGATACTCATCGTTAGTCCAAATTCTTGTGTGACTTTTTCGAAAGTTCTGATGAAAGTTTCCAGATCAGCGGCTGTTTCACACATGACGACTAAGTCATCTGCATAGAGAAGGGCAAGAATGTTAAAGCTCTCATATTTTTCTCGATTGCCATGGTAGAAATCATTGCTGCCGTAGGCAGATTTGGCACCCTCAATACCAGCTTCTTCGATTACTCTTCTAATGATAAAATCAAACAAGATGTTAAACAAGATCGGTGATGGTATCCCGCCTTGCAAAACTCCGGTTTCAATTAAGAAACTATCCGACAATACACCATCAATTTTGACTTTTCCCTTGGAGTTTCTGTATAGCATTCTTAGCAGATTTACAAGTTTCTCTAAAATGCCGTATTTCCGACAGATTTTCCACAGTAATTCGCGATTAACCGAGTCATAGGCTTTCGCAATATCAAACAAGCACATAAGAAGAGGTTTGTTAAATTCTCTTCGTTTTTCCATCGCCATTTTTAATACAAAAATTTGGTCTACCGTTGATCTATTAGGCCGAAAACCTGCCTGTGCTTCCAATAGTTGACGGTCGATCATATGTTGAATACGGTTCAGTATAATGCGAGAAAATAGTTTGCTGGTCACACTAAGTAAAGATATTCCTCTATAGTTGTCGCACAGTTGTTTCTCGCCTTTTTTGAACAACCTGATAAGGATAGCTAAGCTCCAGTCTTCCACCATTTCTTCACTTTTCTTAAGCAATGACTTAACGAAACATGCACCATCTTCCTTTTGGAGTTTTGGTGTACGCACAATTTTGATCGGCGAAAAAAGATTATCCATCGCCAACTTTAACGCTTGCTTTGAAATCTTAATATTTTCTTCCTCGCCCCACACAATTCCTTTTGATTAAAATTCAACATACACTCACCTCCTTGACTCTATCCCGTTCGATCATCGATTCATTTGCTTGTAGTCTTTTATTATCATTCGATAGTCTGTTTCCTGAATTATCACCAGCCAAACTCATATTTGTCAATTGCCGCTTAAGGGAATTTGATGCTTGAGAAGGGCTACGAAATGAACGATTTTGGTTATGAAAACTGCAATTCACTTTGAAAATAAGTACCTTTTACAGCATCCTCCTTATCTTGTATCGATTGGTAACTCGCCTTAACATGTTCAGAACGCATTTATCAATCCTAATTAAAAATTGAATCTCGTTAACGTATTAATAATTGAATCTCGTTAACGTATTAATAATTGAATAAGTAAAAACAAACCCAAGTAAAATAGAAAAAAAATGAAACATGTGTACATATACGTATATGTGTGCAGAGCTACTATTGGAAGAAGCGAAATAGTACGTCCGTTTACTTCAAGTGAATAGTGAAAAAGAATGTGAACCAGAGCTCCTGCCGATCCACCCTACTCGATGGCCTGACCCGGAACCGACCCTCCCCGGGCCCAGCCGGGTCGAGCCAGTCGCTTTTTTTTCTCGGGCCGAGCGAGCCGTGGGAGAAAAGCTTTTAGTTCGGTCGGGTCAGTGTTTTTTAGGGTCCGACCCGGCCCGAGAAATTGTAAAATTTTCCTTCATGTTTTCAGTTAAATTTGTAGTAACGTATGTTACTATTATCTAGTGAATTCTGTTGAGAAAAAAAGAGTTTGATCACCGATCAATTCAGGTGACTGACGATAGGAGAAGAAACAAATACACCGTGTAAAGGAATTCTGTCCTTTACTGAGTTTATTGTACAATAGACCCTCGAATATGTACTGCTCTATGTATAGTGCAGAAGACAAGAGGAGAGTGATGAAATATGAATGGAGAAAGCGAATGATAGAATGAACAATGGGAGACTAATAAAATACGACTGACCAAGAAATGAACGTTGAGACAGAGAAGGAACATGCACAACGGGCGATTGATATACGCACAGTAACACAGCGCTAATGGATATTTGGTTTTGAATTTGTTTCTTTTTTTCTATTTCTCTCCTCTTCGTTCTTCGTGCTATATTATTTAAAGCTCATATTAAAGTTGTTCAGCTATTAAATTATTATGTCTGAATCTGAATGCAACAAGGCAACAACATCTTCCGATCGAGTTCAACAACAAAGAATGAATATACAATTAATCAAATAGAAAACCTTTTAAAATTAGATACAAATCCAAAACACTACATGATTCTTAAAAATGGAATTAAAAGATTAACATCAGATTCATGGGAAACATCTGGTTTAACAAGTAAACTTCAAGCTGATAGTCCATATCAAGTTAAACCTGGTTTTGCTAGTTGTTTTAATTGTAAAAGTACGTTACATTATGAAAGTAGTACAAAATATATGAAAAGTCATAATTGTATACCTTCAACAACAATAAACGAAGGACCATTAGCTATATATTTAAATAATAAGAAAGTTGCCGATGTTCGAAAACAACACAAAGATCAAATAAAACAGAATTAGCTCAATGGATTTGCTCCTCAATTTGATCATTTAGTATTGTTGAAGATTTCGGATTAAATGAAGCAATTCAAGACGCTGTTCGTATTGACAAGTCAGGATAGCTGATCGGCTCAATTAATAATAAATGCATCGTTTTTTTCATTTCTAGGTGAGAAGTATACTAATCCAGTTAATGTTAATGACATTCTTGTTAAAACAGATTCAATTACAAATCATGTTCCTTGATATGATGAATTAGATAAAACTGTCTTATCGGTGAGATGTGTTACTTTTCAATTGTGCTTCATATCTTCATGATAATTTATCTTTTAATTTAGGCAATACGTGATCAATTGAAAAAATTTGATTTAGAATATTATTTTGCTAATACGAAATTATCATTCATGTCAGATCGTGGTTCAAATATAATTAAAGCATTACCTGAGCAAGAACTATCATTTTGTTTTGGACATAGGATAAATAACATATTAAAAAAACATTTTATCAAACATCACAAAAGAAGACAAACCGCTTCAATCTACATCATCAAAACGTAAACAAAAATATATAAATTCATCAGAAGAAGAAAGTTCATATGACGAAATTTTAACAAAATCATCGCCAACAAAACATTCAGAAACAGTAACAACAATATCTCAGATATCGATAAAACCAAAAGAATTACTTGAAACAATATGATGTTCAACAGCATTAGTAAAATACGTTAAATTGGTGAGTATTAAAACGATACATTTCATTGAGCTTTTGAAACAAAAATTATTTGCTTTTATTTGTCTTTCTTCTAATCGTAAGCCCATGTACTAAAAATCGCACAAGAATCGGCAATTGATCGTGAAAAATCATACGATTAATCGTGCGCTTAATCGCCATTAATTGCCGATTTTTAGACGATTTCAGCGATTAATCGCAATTAATTGACGATTTTTTTCTAGGTACTAGGTTCGAACCCATCTTAGGAAATACATATTTTTTTCTGTTTTGTTTATTGTTTATTACGTATAATGACATGTACGTCACACAGCAATGGTCTTAGCACCAGCTGGCGTCGGAGTCTTGCCGACGAGTCAGCTTTAAACATTACCCACATACCAGCTGTTCAGTGGGCTTCTCGGTTTAAAGCTCTGAGGAACAATAGAGAAGACTCTTGACAACTCCGTTGTATTCTAAAATAAAAAGATGATCTGAATATAAGTGTATTTTTCGCTGAAATCGTGTTTCTTATATACAAACGTTATTGCAAAAGAAAACGGTGAATAACAACAACCATTTAATCACTTAAAATCAACAATTAATCACAATTAATTGATGATTTTCGTGATTAATCTTGATGGTTGACAAAGTCATCTATTAATCGCGATACATGAAAAAACTATCATTTAATCGCGATTAAATGACCATTTTTTCCCGAATCGCGACTGAGCGTAGATTTTTTCAACCATCGCGAGTAATCGACAAAAATGAAGCGCGTTTCAGCACATGGGAGGTTGGTATGAATAAAGAAATACAAGATAATTATGGTGTAGCATTAAAACAATCAAATGTAACACGATGGTTGTCTTTATCCAATTTATTAGAATCAATTGAAATATCAATAGAACATGCTCGATCAATAATATCATCGAAACCAGCAGCTGTTAAACAAAAAGTCTGTATAAATAAAATTAATACTGAAGATATTAAAGATTTAGTTTGTTTATTGAAACCATTTAAACATGTAGCGACATTAGTTCAAACTGGTGATAGACCCTCATTGCATATGGTTTATGTTGCTATAAATAAATTAGAACATCATCTTGAAGGAAAGGATATTGATCTAGATGGAAAATGTATCATTATTGATGATAGACATGAAGGTATATTTACAGGCAATAAACAGAAAATAACTTTAAATTTACTTTTTTCCTCTTTATATTTACTGGAACTAATTTCTTTCGACAACGTTTACGACAATTATTATCAACGACGTTTTCATTTGATAATAGACATTTAGCAGCTGCACTATTACATCCACAGTATCGTAAATAAACATATGCTAATGATTATCGAAGAGGTATTACACATGTTTATGTTCGTGAACAAATTAAAAAAATCTACGAAATGCTAATCACCAAATAATCAGTTGGCAACAACAGATGAACCATCGAAAAAAAATATACAACGATGGAAGATCAATTTATAGACCCTGATGACAATGATGCTGATAATAATTTAACAGCATTTCGGTCACTTCTAGATGAACTAGATAAATATTTAAAAATGGTAATTGATGTGCAACTCAAACAGCCAAATCTACTAGTATTTGAGAAAGATCATCAGTAGAAATTTCCATATTTGGCAAAGCTTGCTCGACATTTATATTCAATTCCAGCAACGTCCGCTGGAGTCGAGAGGCAGTTTAGTGCCGCGGGTCTTGTAATTGATGAACGACGATCATCATTAAATCCTGATACTGTAGAAGTATATTATTTGTACGATCAATTCAAAAATCACTTGAAAAAGATTCACATCTGCTTTCTTAACCTTGTTTTGTGTTTCCTTATCTTCTCTTTCTCTCGCTATTGTTCATATGTTTTTGAAATTACCCAGCCAAAAAATTATTCTGTTTTAATTAACTGATACTACTGCTGAACTAATCTTTAGCAAAGCTTTTACTGTATTTTTGCCATAACAAAATTGAATTGAGTCTAAAAAGACTTTAGAATCGGGCTCGAGCCGGGCGGTCCAGGAAAGACTGCCATCCGGGACGGGTCTGGCCACCCGAGTCTCATGATGGATCGGGCAGGCCTCGACTTTTCTTGGCCCGGCTTGTTCCCGGTGGGCCACCAAAAATTCACCTGATTACGAGCTCTGGTGTGAACATATAGTTCGAGAAGATTATCAACTTAAAACATTGCTTATATGCGGATCTACTACATGGGTAGATAAACGAATAATGAGCGCATGTTTTCACTTGAAACGCTTGAGTATTAGGCTACTCGATATGTTAGATATTTATATTGTTTTAAATAATTTGCCATTTTATAAAATCTTTGTGTGTGAAAACGTTAGACGGTGGCGATTTATTTTCACATCGAATCGTCGACTCAACAGATTCAATTTTTAAGACTAAAGAATCTTTGAAGAAGAAATTAAGAATAACTGATTGATTTGTTTTCCATTGAAGAACTGGCTCACATGTCCAGCCGTCGCAGAATTTACCCAGCTTCACCAGCACTATTTAAATCACGTAAAAAACTTGGAATCAGTAACGAAAGACCAGCTTGATACTCTAAATATTTGTAAAAAACATACTGGCGGCTGAATTTCAAACAGATGATCTAGAGCGTTTCTTGTTCAATATATTTTTTATTAAAAATTGAGAATGGCTTCAGACGAAATGCATTAGTTTGATGATGATCAATTATTTCCTCGACAGGAAGTCTCGATAGTAATCACAATACTGAAAAAGTTAGAAAATGTATGTTATGCCGTATCACTGTTCTGTCCAATCAATCTACTGATACAAAACGTCTGTTGTTAAAACTTAAACCTGTGGTATTTTATTACATAGTGTTAGGCAACGCTACGATTATCTAAAAATAGAAATATTGATTTTCTTCTACTGAAACGCCCTTTTGTCAGTTAGACCTTAACACTTGTATCTGACAGATCAAAGAACACTAGATAACAGAAAGGAATAGCAACCGACTTTGGTCAGATAAACTCGCAACTTTTTCAAAAACAAAATGAAAACAAAGTACTGCTTTAGTTTATTGTTTGATTCACTGAAAGCAATCCGTTATTCCTTCTTCGAAAAGAAATAAAACAATTGAGAATCAAAACCAGGAAGCGAAAGACAGTTTAAAAGAGCCCTCGGATGTTGTAATAATATTACTGCATATTCTTCAGATTGCAGGCTTAATCAATGATAAGAATAATAGATTTCGTCAATCAAACGGAACCCGTATGGCCGCGAGAACTTTTACGATTCAGAAATCTAACAAACTAGAAAGATAAAAAGGCATATCCCAGGCAAACATCACCTATAGGAAAAATCTAGATACATTTCGTCTATAATCGAACGATACACGACTAGTTGCCATCTAGACTACTAGTTGGAAAAGGGACTTTTAACTAGATGCGTCTGGGTGTGCAACTAGCAATAGTTAAATCGATCGATTAGCGGGCGATTAATCGATAGTTGCAACTAGAAAAAATCTAGTAATCGCCCGATTTCCACTATCGCTACACAGTAGTTGCAATCGAGCAAAAATCTAGTAATCTTGATGAATCGGGCGATACTAGATTTTTTTTTGACGCTTGGGTACATCCAAGAGCAAACAGAAAATTTCTGAAACAAGAAGCTGAATGGGACGAGTATGCATCTGGATTGATGAAAAAGTTGTAACATCACTGAACGAAGTCCCCCCTAGCGATAAAATAGAGTATGAAAAAGAAAACCGTAGATTATGCGACATGTTGTTAGAGGGTCACCACGTCTACCGTCGTATCCTTGAACTGGAGACCCATGACTAGGGCTGGCTGTTTACTATTACTGTTACTAGTAACAACAAAACTATTACTTGGTACTAGTAATTATAGAAAGATAGAGAATTTTCTAGGCCTCAAAATAAGCTACAAATAAGTCTTTCGAAAATATGCCCACATGGGTAAATAGTCGAAATACTAGGCAGGTATCATCATTTTCACCTATCTTAGTACTTTAAAGGAATATTTCTTGCATGCATCTACTCAAAACCGGAATGTTTTGTATACAGAAAGATAGAGGAATTTTAGGGCTTCAAAATGAGGTATAAAGAAGTCTTTCAAAAATATGTCCAGATGAGTTAATAGTCGGAATACTTGGTCGATGTCATAACTTTTACTCATCTTAATGCTTTAAACACACCTTTAGTCATTTTTCTGCCATAATAAAAAATTAAATGTTTTTCAAAAGCATACCGTTGGATAGCCCTGGAAGTTCTCTACAAAGTGAGCTGCTCACAATATACGGACAAGTGGATCCAATCATTAACGATATTGAAGAGAAGCGTTTGGCGGTTATCTCTGCAGTACGGTGTGTCATAATCACGATCCCATGGAAAGAACTCATGTTTGGCCCCGATCCCGTGGTCCGTAAATATTTTTTTACAGTAGCGCAGGTAGTTTGAAAGTTAGCGCGTTGTAATGCGGGGCGTATTTTATTTTTCTCGCAGAACTAATGCCTATATACAAACAAGTTTATTGTTCGCTAAGTTTATATCACACCTCTCGGATTCAAGTACTCAGACTTCTGTCACTGCACATAAACGGTTCATTTTTTATGCGTCTACAACTGTTGTGGGCTCGCCATACGATATATTACCCGCTAATGCTGCATTCCTTTTCAATCCGTCTTCAACTGCTTCGGCCGTTTCACATCAACAAACATGTAGTTTTTGCGATGAGACAAGAGAGAAAAGAGACAAAAACATACATTTTTGTATTAGATATAGTCGATATACCTATATTACTAGTTTTTGCGATAGTGAAGAATCAGCCAAAACTAACAATGTACAACCATATGTAACATAAAAACATTTGTTTTGCCTCTTTTTCTCTCTCCTCTCATCGCAAAAAATACAATTTCGTTGGTACATAAATATCGACAGCAAGTACACTATAATCATTTATCTACAATTGTCACGAATTACTCTTGTGCGTGAATGGCGTATTATGAGAACGGCATGGGCACATATTTTGCTAACGAGAAGCTGAAAAATAATTTAGTTTTAGGCCGGTGATTATTTTTTGAATAACTTAAAGGAATAAAAGATAGATACTTGCAGTATTTATCATTCACTAGCCAAGGCTTGAAACTATGTTTTCAGAAGTAAAAACGAATTTGAAAAAACTTCAAAGACCGGTTTTTCAGGAGATCAGCAGCAAGCCAGTTCACTTCTCTGAAAGCTTGTATAGAAATCTATGAATGTTTTTACGCAGATATATAGTCCGAGATGTTCTCTGCAACACTGAATCTGAGCGACATCGTAGAAATCCATGATTCGAGAGCTACGGACATTTTTCGTGAAGCCTTAGCACTCCTCTGCCGTTAGGTTCGGGGCAGCCAGAAATTAATGAAAACATAGGCTATCAACTGTGTTGGATCGCGTGGCAATGTTAATTTTCAGGACAAGATGCAACTACCGACTGAAAAGCTATACTTGGTGAAATAACCCATTTTTGATTATTTTCATCAAAAATTAGCCTGGAGTAAGGTCTGTTCGATAAGTAGTGTCCTAGAGTAAGATCTGTCCAGATAGGAAATGTCCTGACGAGAAGTTTTCGCATAAGACTTATGTGGAAGATTTTCTCGGGATTCTTAAAAGAAATCTTATCTAAGACAATGTTCGAAAGGGCAAAAAACTAATTACTGTCAGAGGTTTCAGGAGCTACGTTGGATATTTTAAAGAATGTTTCGATTTTTAGGAATTGTTATGGAAGATTATCAAACCCCAAAACTTTTATATGTGCTCTTTTCCGTAGTCTGGAAAAAGATTTTTTAGAGCAGATGGTGTGCTGAAGAACGAAGTTATAAAAATACATCAGAAATTGACAGTCCCGCATTTTCAACAATATCTTTTGCAGCGCTACAGATAAGCGTTCGATGACGGCAGAAATAATTTAGGGGTACCCTCCTCCTTTTTCACCTTGTTGTTTCAAAAAAACCGGAAAATATATTTCTAAGAGTACAGATTACAATGTTTCTAGTTGTTCTGTTCATGTTCATAAGAAAAACATCTTTTTGTTTGGAATCCTTGCTTTTCTGTTCGCGCGAAGTAGCACATCCGTGGCCATAAAACACCTCGAGGATATTCTTTTGATAAATCTGCTGACGACGATAACTGATTGCTTTTATGTAATTTGGACATTTCGCTCAATTTTCGATCGGTGAATAGTGTGTCCGAATCACTTATATAATCATGGTTTGACGAATGCAGTTGTTCATCTTGATCTATCATCAATTTCGAAGCCCAGTTATTATTTCGTGTATTTTCAATTGATCGAACACCATCCACATTCTCATTCTCTCTCAATCGATAACTGGTACAAGATCCTGCAATAGTTATTAACATCCATATGAAATAACATTTTTTAAATTGAATTGGTGTCACTTGAAAGTTTACTTGTCGTTTGTCTTTAAAACTATTCGCCATTGTGTGATAGGACCACGTTAGTTTTTTCTTTTAAGAATGAACAGTATTAATGAAGATCAACAACAAACGTCTTACATTCAAGTAGCAGTGTGAATTAGTAACGAGTTCTTCTTTTTTGTTGACTATTTCCTTTATTAAAAACTACATATCGCTTATTCTCCATATGGCGATTCAGCTCGATCTAATCACTTTCTAAGATTGTACAAAATCTTTTTCAAGCGAATAACATATGTGACATACTCCTTTTCATCAATTTTTTCATATCATAGTAAAACACTTATTACTAATTACATCTTGACGTTTTCATCTCACTTCAGGTAAAACTGAATACGGAACAATATGATGAAATAGTCAGATAAAAGAGAAATGGTTTCTCTACAGAATTAATTTTGGCCGTCATCGAACATGTACCTGTAGCGCTGTAAAAGATTTATGCAACAATTAGTGTTCATTACTATTTTCAGTACAAACATTTACTGTCAGTTGAGCTTGTTAAAAGTATGACATTTAGAATTTGATAGAAGTAGGCATCCCCTTGGAGTGCTAGAAGATGAGCGATAGTTCGTAGATATTTATCAGTAAGTCTTAGTTGAACTTAGTAATTTAGCTGAATGTCTGGCTGATTTACGTTCATTTAGCGAAAGTGCCTTTGTAGAAAAGTCTTTTTAAAATCTTGACTCTTACAAATCAATTCGGCTAAACACTGTAATATGTTTGCCGGATTCATTTAGAAACGATTTTTTACACAAGACAACACGGCCAACGTACAGTACTTTTTATCATATAACACGGATATCGATAACATTGTAACGCTGGTGTCTCCGTTTGGTATTTGAAACAAAACACAAATCTGTTCTTTTACAAGAAAATGAAGGAAAATATCAAAGACACGCAAGCGAGCATATCTTTCACTCACATAGGAATTTTGTAGAAAATGTTTATAGCTTGGCCAGTAGTCGTCCGGTAAGCGAGAAACTTTATCTACATAGCCATCTCGATGTGTTTCACAATCTGGACAGATCAGAAATTTGATTTTGGAAAAAAAATTTTCTATCTTGAAAAACTAGTTTACCAGAAACCATCCACAGATTACATAGCAATCCAAACGAGTGTCATTTCGGATTCAGCACCCTTGACTACCTAGAGTCCACTTAACTTGATCCCAAAAGCGGAGGGCAATAAAGGCCGTTTCCTCGTTAGCTTCTCCAGCCAGCTCTGGTCTAGATATTTAGCGTTTTTTCCTTTGACTTTACTTTGAATTTACAATTAATGTTTGCAAAAGAAAATTTCCCTAGCCATTATTTCTATGATGAAATAAACCGGCTGCAGCAGCTACAAATCCGGCATTATAATTTGTAGCCATCTCATCTTTAAACCAGGGTACTTTCATATAGGTCCGGCCACTTTATACACGGCTTAAAGCCGTGAAGGATTGACTATATGCAATTGATAGTCCTACTGGTATGTGAAGATCTCAAGGGGGAAACGACCTCCTAAAATGGTGCACACACTTATAAGTGACAGTTACTTTAAGTACCATTTAACCACTTTAAGTGTCACGGTTATTCTCCTGTTTTGAACAAGATTTGAGCAATAGTGATTGCCAATTTTTCCTCATTATGGATAAGAAAAGTAACAGATTTCGCTTTTTGTTCAAAAGTTACATGGTATTAAATGCTTATGTTATTTCATAAAAGGAAGTCTAGAAATGTATGAGATCTTTTTTCTCTTACACATTTTAATGCACATGCATATGGTAGGGCTATTAGGCCAAGAGCTAATGCTAACTAATATTCTTCTTTGATAATTGCCCTTGCTCAACTTGAAACGTTCGATTTTGTTTCAACTATTTTATTCTTCTCAAGTAAAATTATCAGAATTATATATAAAAAGAAAAGAGAGAAAACAGACGAAAGAATAAGATAGAGACGTTACTTCCAGGGAGTAGCATCCATAACTGAACGAACGATTAGTAATAGAGAAAGCGAAAGACTGTGATAAACCCATCGCCCGTCTATACATGGTAAAATAACAACAGTAAAAAGAAAGAGAAAAATAACTATTGTCTTGTCACTAGACCGGTTAATCTATATTGAAAGAAATAGTTTTGTCTTATAGATTGTCTTTAAAACTATTCGCCATTTTGTGATAGGACCATGTTAGTTTTTTTCTTTTAAGGATGAACAGTATTAATGAAGATCAACAACAAACGTCTTACATTCAAGTAGCAGTGTGAAGTAGCTCAGACATAGGTTTTTTTCATAAGATGCGCCATCAAATTCTCTACAAAATGTGTGCTGAGTGTTTTATTCCAGAACAAAAAAGTGAAAGATTGCATGAAAAATACTGAGAAACTTCGAGACCGCCAACTTTCCAACTGTTACGCTAAAATGATGATGATTTCTGGCAAAACTACTAAAAGCAAAAAAATTCTCATGTAACTAAGTACTTAGTTGTGCTGTAGAAGAATTCTAATTATAGCTAGAAGATAGAGTTTTTCAAGCGCTACGAAATGACGAGCGTTAATTTTTTCATGTCTTAAAAAGTCAAAGAATAAAACCAAAAAATCGTTTTCCTAATTGGAAAGTTGGCAGTCTCAAAGTTTGTCAGTACTTTGTCAGAAATTGTTCAGAAATGTCACCATCATTAATAGCAATTTCAATATAAGATGTTTCTAGGGTCTTAAAACGACCACAAGAGAAGAAGGAGCAGTGAACAAATGAAACTATATGGAATATAATATAGTAGAAAAATAGAATTTTCACATGATATGCTTATCCTTTTTTAAATGAAGAACATACAAAGTAGAATATTCCGAATATCAGTGGTATTTTTTTGCGTTTTTTTTCCAAATGTTGGCCTCGTTTTTCTCGAACAATTTGAACTTTCCAGACTTGATTATTTTTTCAATATTTAAACCACTAGGACTGTGAAAATTCTTCAAAATTTGTTTTGACTACTGAGTTTCAAAATCGTGCAAAACCGATGGACTGAACACAGATCTCATATTTGATTAAAAAAAAAAAGCTCTCTTGCTGTGAAAAATCAAATATATCTTGAAAATCAATGTTTTCTGTAGACTTTCTCGTGGATCACATGACAAACCCTCTATAAATGACAAATAGATAGATGAACATTTTCCATGCGTCTATTTCACTTATATGCTAACTGTTCGCTGGATTTCTCACTGCGCTACGTCCTCTTAACATGGTAAATTGAAAATTTCAATGTAAGACTATTAATGATGACGATATTTCTGAACGGTTTCAAAAAAAAAAAAAAAAATCATCAGTACTTTTCATGCAGTTTCTTAATTTTCTGTTCTGGAATAAAACACTTAGCATATTTTTTAGAGAATTTGATACCGCATCTTTTGAAAAACCTATGTCTGAGCGTTGAAAAGAAAAAAAGTTATCGTCACAATACGGAGAGGCCCAGAACTCATAAAACACCCTTTTGGGGCTGAATCCTTGGCTTTCCAGGAAGATGTGGAATTCGAAATGACACTTAACCACTGAACTAAACTAAACTATTCGATTCCATAGATCTACTACATGCCAAAAGATACGAACAAAAAGTAGAAGAAAAGGAAAGAGCAAACGTGGCAGTCAAATCCTTTTCTACCAACTGTTCAAATTTTTTAACAGCTTTCCGAATAAATTTGCAAAGACGAAATTTCTAGGACTTCGGAAAAACATCTCTGCAAAATCGAAATTTAATGTTAAAAATCTGCGATTTGCGCAGATCGATAGAAAATTGAATTCTACATCGAGCTATTGGATTAGAAATTATTTTTAGTTGATGGAAGTGGCTGAATTTTAAGATAACTTTCGAAGAATGTTTTCTGAATTTTAAGATAACTTTCGAAGAATGTTTTCTGAATTTTAAGATAACTTTCGAAGAATGTTTTCTGAATTTTAAGATAACTTTCGAAGAATAGTTCATGGTAGTACTCTGGGCCTACTTCACGAAACCGTAGAGAGCCCTTCAAACGGACCATCTTCGGTTGCAAAAACCTCTTGATTGCAAAACGGACGATGACGTTTTGTCTATGTCTAAAGAATAAACTATTTCTGGAGAACGCTTAACTCAAATTTTTATCATGGATAGTACTCATACCAAGACAGCTCTGATAAAAATTTAAGCTCATTAGCATTTGATTTGGCGGAATTATAGCGTAGGCAAAGTTTTCGACTGGAAAATCGCTTTTTTTCGCATTATTTCACATAGTATAGGTGTCCACAAGGTTTTTCTAAAAAAAAATTACCCTGATGGTTAGGATAGGCGAAAATTTATGCTCAATTCAGTTCTGAGAGTACCAGACATTAAGGCCGCATGATAGAGTTGCCTTTGGAGAAATTCTAGCATGCCCGAACGATGATAGATGGAGACCTCGTACTTGCGAGAATGTGAAGCATAGATGTCAGTGTATGTTCTGTATAGTTTGAAACTATAGGTTGCTATGGAAACCCAGAAAACGGTACCGTTTCCTGCAGAAGATCCATAAGGTATAAAGCGTGATAACTGGTCGTTGAAAGATAAAAGCTTCGCTCTGAACTATGGAAACGGAGACCGACAAAATGTTTTTCGGTACAAATTTAAAGTATAACAGAGTGCCATTTTCAGGTATTTTATGAAAGAAAACTTATCTGCTGTTGCGCACTTGTTGTAGATATGTTCTGGGCAAGGGCAAACTCTTCTGTCAAGTTTTCTTGTCAAAAAGATCTCTCAAACTCCTAGTTTCCTGTCGCAATACTTGAGTAAAAAAGTGCGTCTATTAAGATGGTATACGGTCATATCTGAGAACGCAGAAAAAGTAGTTGTTTAGGACTACAAGAACTTCAAACGAAAGATCAGTTAAAATACCATCTTTGAACACATATCCGATACTGCATATACTCACAAAATTTTTGGTTCAGCTTATACTCTCTGTCTTTCCAGATTGCCGATAGTTCAACAAATACATTCGATAATGCCTTTAACAAATTATGTGCAAAATTAGCAGATACATTTTTAATCGTATATTTAGAAAAAGATGGGCAACGCAGTTATTATTTAGTTTATTCTAATATAATTAAATTTGATCTAACAGATTTAACAAAACCGGGGATGTTGTCAATCTATTTAGCGTCTTATTATGCATCTGACTTAACATGGTTCACAAAACAAAGCCTATGTGTGATGTGATTGATAATTATGCATTCAATCAACAATCAAAATTTAAATCAACGTATGGTATCACCGCCAAACAGATGATATTAGATATTAATAGTTCAAGAAAATAAAAAAATTAACATAATTATTTCCCATGTAGCTAATTCTCATGTTTATTTTGCAGAAAAGTTAAACAATACAAAATAAATGTTGCACAAGCAGCTGCGTGTCTTTTTCTCACATGTCACACTTTCAAGCTCTAACTAACAAAAACTCTCACGAAGTAAAGGAATAAAGCTAATAAGTTGAAGAGAAAAAAGGATTTCTTTTTCCATACATCGCCTGACAAGATGATATTCGCTTCATTTTAACTATGTATTACCTGTCATTAACAGGTGGCAAAACGGTGGCAAAACGTCTCTTAAGTGTTGTGCAACACTTTAAGTTCGTCAACTTAATTTTATCTTAGACTTAGATAAGACACAGACTTAAAAGTTTAGAGTTAAGTTGATGACTTCAGAATTTCTGTGAAACACCCTCCAAGTGCTTTTAGAACAGAAAATTTTACTTCAAGCTAAAATAAGAGCAGACATATTGGGAAAAGGACAGCTTTTATGGAAAATCAGAGACTGTAGATCACAAAATCAACTCTTTTTGAAGTCTGTCGCCATTTTACACTAAGCAAGAAGCTGCGTGAGTTTGTCTCGTTCACAGTTTATTGCTTCATCATCTTTTAATACACAAAGATATACCGACCATTAAAGAATGATGTTTTCTACCAGCAACATAACCAATATTCATGTTTTAGCTGGAAAGAAAGATCAAACCGTCTATTCACGTATATTTTATATAAATTGAGGTATTTCTGGAAAAAGTGGACAAAACACTTATATTTGAATATTTAAATCAATATTTGTTGTGATAACACGTACAATTAAACATTCTAATACTGACATCTATATTCGTGGATATTGTTGGGGCATATTATCTAACATATATGTTGAATGTATAAATTAATCAAAAATATTTGCATCTGTCCTTAATCTTGTTTAACATATTTTTTCATTATTTCATCGAATACAAACTCTTCGACTAATTCATATAGATTAATAACATATTTTAATAAAATATTACCAAACGGTTGTTATTGAATAAATACGTATGGATGTAAATAGATTTTATTTTGTACAGTAAGTCAGAAAACAACATCTCTCGAGATGTTTTGATTATATTGTACAAAGGCAGACATGTTTGCAAGCGCACAATACATTTATATGCAAAAGCAGCAGACATTGAGTCAAATCCATACGATATTATTTATTCCTTAATGAAGGAAAACTAGTTAGCACTTTCCGAAATTCAAACAGGAACCTATTGACTTTTTTCATGTGCTGGTAGCCCGGGGTGTTCTCTTCAAAATGGGAGTAAAGTGAGACCTTGATTTTCTGCGGTTCGGGCGTTGTATCGGATTTCCGATGAGTCCCAGGACTGGTATCCGGTGACTCTTGGTAGCCTTAAAGACGGATGGAGTATGGATAATCGATCATGTTGAGTCTCGTGGCAATATTTGTTCTTAGAAAAAGTTTTGAAAATCTACCGAAAAGCCAGTTTTACGAAAACTAGGATTTTCAGGCTGTTTTCACCTAATATTAGAAAACTCACTATTCGCTCACTAAACATCAGAACGTGTTCAGACCTTCAGAATGTGGAGTATTTAAGCTATTCTATATCCTGTTTATACAAGATCTGAAAATAAATTTTAAAAAGCCCTAAGATTTTCCAATAGGGTTTCTCGAAAACCTATTCAAAAAAATATGCTTTTCGCTTTCTTCGATCTTATAATC